TGCACTATTTCTGCACGGGGTGCGGTGTCGCCGGTGCCGAGAAGCGCTCCGATTGCAAACCGAAACTTAAAGGAGTCATGAAACGCTTTTCCAACTTTTTCGTGTTTAGCTTCCCTCCTCAACTCATAAATCGCGCATTGTACCAAACAGTTCAAGAAGTCGGAAAGGGGGGAGTCCCCTCTTGCTCGGAATCTTCGCTTTTGTAGCCGGACACAGCCATTGTCCCCCTAGAAGATTAGCCCATCACTCAAAATTCCGACTAGTTGCTTTCCCCACCCCGTTCACCCCGAAGCTGACAGTGCTGTGCAAGCTACGTGCTCGTTGGGCCAGCCACACATTTTCCACGTGATCATGCTCTCTCGCGCATACCGACCTGCAGAGAATGAGGTCAGGTGACGAAAGGGAGGCGGCTGATTGGTCCGGCTAGGGTGCCCACATGTTTCTGCCGCTCCGCTGTTTAGGGTGGCGACAACGTTTGTGATACCTGTTGCCGACAAACCAGTGTTGCCTACCTCGTTACCATGGCAGCCTCCGCTGTTTCGTCGACCATTTTGTCACACTCGCCAGTCGTGCGCTCGCGCTACTCCGCTAATCCTCGTTAGGGAGCTAGGCTAGGCTAGGGAGCACCCACCGCTCTCGTTCCGACGGCGAGGTTTCGGCGTGCGGTGCCGGTCTGTTGCGTTCCATTTTGTCGAGAGGACTCACGTTTCGATAAACGCAACGCATACTTCCTTCTCGCAACTTCAAAGTATGAAACACCCGAATAATAGGGAGTTTTCGTAGACCGCGTTGCCCCTTCCGCTAAGCGTTCCGCAACGAAGAAGTTGCTACTGCGCCTGCGCGCCGATAGCCTTTACGGTGGAGTTCCCGCTATCGTAGCGGGTTGCGGAGGACCTTGCGGGACGGCGAAAACGATCTACGAAAACTCCCTAGTGAGAGCGACAGCCACGACGACCGCCATCCCGCTGAGCCTCCGACTCGTCCGACTCTTCTTATGAACGGAAACGGAAGCGGCCTCACAGTGTTGCCGCTGTGTCGAAACTACGAAAACTCAACGTTGTGTACGTTTAGCCAAATAAGAAGTGGGTCAAAATGGCGGTGGGAGAGGATCTGGGAAAGAGTAACAAGAAGTTGGCGCCACCCTAAAGCGCAGCGGAAACATGTAGGCACCCTAGGTCCGGCAAGCGCGTAGGTTCCACCGCAATGTCAGCTTAGGGGAAAAGGGATTAAGTGAGGTCCGGTGTCGTGTGACGTGCGCTTGGGCCTGGTGACGCGCTGCGGGTGCCCGGTTATGGTGGCTAGTAGCCCGGTGACGCGCTGCGGGGTCCGCGGATGTATCACAGTGAAAAGGCGGAGAGTTTACGAAGGGAAGGAGGTACGAAATAGTCCGCTATGTTTTGCAAATTTTCGTTGCGAAAGTCAGGCTTCTGACTTTCTACCTTTGTTCTTTTGGCCCACTGAACGATGTGCTATTAGTAAAATCCCAATATAAATTGATTTACTCCAGCCCAAAATTCGTTTCATGGGTCCTTTAAGAACCCGTCGAATTTGCGCGGTTTTTCAGAAAGCCGTAAAATGCTGCGCGTGCCTTCTATCGTTCTGCAATTTGTTGATTTACTGTTTTCCAACGCTGCTGAGCAATTTTCTAATTGAAATCATGCTCTTAAACAAAAGATTAAAAAAGTTAATCACACAAAAATAATTAACGATCTAATTATCCCGAACTTTAATAATTTTCCTAAATAGGCCCCTGGTCCAGGACCAAAACGACACAAGCCTTTTTTTGTTGTGACGAGTAGTTTTCGCAATATCGAATTTGTTCAGTTTTCGTGAAACACTCTCTCTCTCTCTCTCTCTCTCTCTCTCTATATATATATATATATATATATATATATATATATATATATATATATATATATATATACCGGGTGTTTTTGCGTAGACTTTCAAAAACCCTTAAAATTGGGGTTATTGAAAAACGAAGAAACTCTCTTCGGGAACAAACTACCAGCCATGGTGGACGTCAGGAATTGCCAAAAACCTACTAATTAGCCAGCTAATTAATTGGAAACCGTTAATTAACTTATTTAATTAGTGGAAATAGACATATCGTTCCAATTAGAAAGTTGCTGAGCGTTATCGAAAATCACTAAATCAGTCATTTTCAGACAGACTTTGGGCGCGTGAGAAGCGCAGTAGTGCACTAAAGTTACCACTCGTGGAGCAGGTACAAGGCTGGGGCTAGATAAGAGGCGGAAAAATCGCGCGGGCGCCTTGCCGCAGCCGCTAGCCTTGTACCTGCTCCACGAGTGGTAACTTTAGTGCGCTACTACTCTTCTCACGCGCTCGAAGTCTTTCAGAAAATTACTGATTTAGTGGTTTTCGATAACGCCCAGAAACTTTCTAATTGGAACCATATGTCTATTTCCCTTATCTAAAAAGTTAATTAACAAATTTGAAATAATTAGCTGACGAATTAGTATGTTTTTGGCAAGTCCTGACGTCCGCTATGGCTGGTAGTTTGTTCCCGGAGACAGTTTCTTGTTTTTTCAATCGCCCTAATTTTTAGGATGTTTGAAAGTCTTTGCAAAAACACCCGGTATATATATATATTTGCCATTAAAAATTATTGAAGAGATTACCCAAAAATTTTTGCTAAAACGCATCGTAATTTATTACCGAAAAAGAAATATTTCGCGCATTTTGTGGAGGGTGGGTTTCGAGAATATTTCGCGATTTGCCGTGATGTGCCATTTATTCGTTAACGTGAACCGATATATTCGCGGGTACCTTTGCTTTCGTGGCATTCTTCAAGTCACGGAATTTGCGAAAATTAGGTCAGCCCTCCTCCAGCGGTTAAAGATTTGTGTGTGTGTGTGAGTGTGTGCGCGTGCGTGCGTGCGCGCACGCGCGCAAAGCCTCTTCCTGATTTGCATCACAAAAGATTGTAACTCTTACTTTCAGAAACAAATTGAAAGACCACCGCACACAAAACAAACTGTAAAAATCGTTGCAACACAATCGTTTAGCACTTCAAATTTCATCAAAACGATATATATGTTTTTTTTGTTTTGTTTTTTTTTCATTTTTCCTAGGAAATTTTATGGGTGTGTCAAACTAAACTGAATGTGTTTTGTTTGGGTAAAGGGCCAGGGGAGGGGGAGGGGGGATAAATTACTCCTCTTCTATTGAGCATGCTCACGAACCGCTAATAGACTCTTCTCACAAATCAGCAACAACGCCTGTCCAGCACTGCTTATAGCGAGTTCGTTTCACACGCACTGGTACCACTGGCACCGTTCGAGTTCTCTCACAGAATGCATCGCACTCGCAGTGTTGCACGGAAAACTGGACTCAAACGAACACGCCAGATGCACCAAGTGCAGAAGATATGCAGGGGCCTTAGCAGAAGACTGATGCTGCCGCCATCTATGTTGTAGAAAAGGTACCAACCTCCAACCGAAACTAGTGCCTTTCTGTTCCGAGTGGTGGGTGGGAATGCGAGAGTGCAGTCGCTACCAATGTTTATCGACAAACGTTGGTCACTACAACGTGTAGTTTATATTTTCGATGACTTCAAGCAACTCTGCTGTAGCAGAAATAGTTAGAGACGGCGTAAATTTCCGCAACCAGCTGTCTACAACGCAGCTGGTTGCGACTTCTTTATAACCGCTTACACTGAAGAAAACTGATGATGCTGTCCGAGCAGAAGCTTGATCCGTTTGAGCATGTATTATGCGTGAACCACTGAAAGGGTACAGCTTAAAACTAGTCTGTTGGAATATCCAGCAAAACGTTTCGTGGGACTTTCGATTTCGATCGTCATTACAGATTGATCAGATATTCGCCTTGGTGAGGGCGTCGAGAGCGAGAGTTTTCTCGAACAAAATATGACGGGGCAAGTTAGCTGACGCAGGTAAATGTTAAACATGATGATGCTGCCCAAGCCTCGGGTAAAGTCACTAAATTTAGCTTTCTCTGATGCTTATTAGGTAATCACAGGATTCTCCTGGGGGACTTTTGTCGGCAAATGTTCAATGTTTCACCCGTACACGAATGGTGATAAACATCTTGGGGGCCGCTGAGCATTTCTTTACACACTGGTATCGTTCAGCGTCTGTACGGCAACAGAGCAACTTAAAACCTGCAAATAAAGCACGGTTTGTCAATTGCTTCTTTCTTGAAATAGTAGACGCCCACAATTCGAGCTCGAGGTTGATTCCGTTGCCCGCGGGACGCGATTTCTATCAGAAAATCTACTTTTTTTCCTTTCGGTTCCGCGACACATCGTAGCAGACGAACCCTCGTCGTCTGCTCCCGCTCCTCGCCGGAGCGAGGCATGATGGGATTGCATTTTGGCGCACTCCCGATTTTCTCGGTGCAGCAGTGCATGCACACGTGGGGTGCCGGCCAGCGCTGAAACGAACTCGGAGAGTGCAATCACTCGTGGAGGGCCACCTGAAACGAACCCGCTCCACGCTGCGAGTGGGCACGTCTGGGCACGAGTGCCGTGAAACGAACTCGCTATTAATCACGCACTCTAAGCATGCACTGGATACGAGGGCTGCGTCCAATGGATAGAGGGACGTGAATGAATAAACCCTTTGTAACAGGTGGTAGCCTGCGCCACCTAGCCAAAGTCTAAAAAGCAATGGCGACCGCCCATGTTGCTCAATGGACTTTTGGACATAATGGACCACCGACCAACGTCTGTAAAAAAACCACAAATATGCACTCTTCTTCTTCTTTTTTTTTTCTTCTCGTTTTTATGGTTTTAAGATGTTAACTTTAGATTACCAACTAATCTCCCCCACCCTTGTCATTCCTTCAGGACAACTACTTATAGTTCTAAGTCACTTCAACGTTCAAAACAGAACACACAATGCAAAATAACCCCAAAAAACAGGCAAAACTAAAATTTAAAGCACTAAGTCAACAAAATTCAACGATATAAATATAATTTAATCATAGAACAAACACTTCTACTATGAACAACCGAAAATTGCGCGGTACGATGCCGGGCCAGTGTGGCAGATTTAAACGGATTTCGTTGACCCCATTTGCAGCAGCACCCAGATATACTGCGTAAAGATGGTATGCCTACACCTGGCTGGCCTTCCCCTTCGATAATGACAATATGTACAAAAACCTAGAGACCAAAAAGGGCCAATTGACGTCTTCACTGGAGCACACACGTTGACTCTGATGGAGGAAATACAAAAACACAATTAGGTGTAATTGGTAACTTTCGGAACGTGCGCATCGCACCGTTCAAAACGGCTCGCCTACCCGATCGAATGGGGGCCGTCCTTTCCACTCCTAATGTCTGCATGGTCATGTAGGACTTGACCAGTTCGGCTGCGTCGAGCCACTTCTTGGCCTGCAAACATTGCCGATGACGACAGACCGTCATGGTAGAGTGTGGTGCACCAAAGTATGTCATAGCCAATCACAGCTGATCTTGGAAGAACATGTATCAATCCAAGCAGATCACAGCAAATCACCAAAGACGAACCGCGACAGATAAATGGAGGCCGACAATATTCACAGATACATGAAGATGAATGGCGTCAGCTATACGAGGAACAGGCCCCATTTTCCCAAGAAGATTTCCGAAAATTACTTATAACTTTTGAATAACCTTGGCATTTGGTCTGGACCACTAGTGCTACACTTGGACAGAGACTGAGCATGTGGCGATGCATAGTTAAGTTTTTAGGTGAAAAATAACACTGCAAATTTTTTTCTGGAGACACGCTGTAGAGACATGCCAATAATTGCAGAGCGTAGAATGCCAAAAATCCCAATTTCCGACATAATTTAATGGAAAGTAAGCATGCAAGCAAGGCACAAGAACAACATAGCCAAACCTCATGAGCAAGCACAATCCCAACATTTAGGAATAATCCTGTAAAACTGAAGGATGGGAGCTTCTTAGGTGAACAACATGCAAAGAAATTCAGAGGTGGGCACTTATTGTGGAATGGGTCCCGTATTTTACCATACCCAAGGATATTAAAACAGTGCTAAGAGCTGTTATGGAGAACAGAACATGATGCATGACACTAAAAAAAATTATTGTTTAAGGTTATGAAATAAACCAATCATTAATTTGACTAAAAACCTTGTGAAGCTCATAGAAATCTTGCTGATGCATTAACATTTTATCAAATAATGAAGCCATAAGGAAAAACATCACTCGTTTCTGTCGCTTTTGTAAGTTCATATGCGGAATGGACTCACAGAGGCGCAGAAAGAAATTGGCGGTTGAAAGGGGCACCACAATTAAGGAAAAAAAGAGTAGATCCTGTTGGTAACTTGTCACGTGAAAACTCCATGAGGCAAACCACGAAACCCCGTTTGCAACACACAAACTCCACCCACAGTACACAAACTCTGCCCACAATACACGACACTCTGCCTTTCAAAACACGAAACTCCACCCCAAGGTTTTACCACCTCTTTTTGCTTCTACCATGGCTCTATGTAGTCCGGTTCTGTTCCCTCTTCTCGTGTTTGTGCCAGATTAGAGATGGGTGGGGTTCATATCGGCTTGCGGTTGTTTGACCGTCACAACGTTGTGCCCAATAAACCTTGATCTGAGCAGTCATACTGCGCCTGCCAAACCACCCTTCGACAATAGGGAGAAAAACCACCTCACTCGATGAGCACAGATTCAAAACTGGTCGCGCGTCTGCACTTTGCGCGACAGTTTAACAAAGTAGGCGCACCATCTTCACCCTTTTTAGATTTGATTGGAAGGTTTTGGAGCATGTAGTGTCCAGAGTAAAAGTTTAATCAGAATAAGAAAAAACAAACAAAAAACAATTTGAATTCTTTTTACAATCTGCTTTTAAAAAGGAACACTATTATAAATATGCTCAAACATAGGTATCTGATCAGTTCTGATTGAAAGTGTACAAGCAATCGAAATCACCACCTTTGTTTAAACAATTTCCAAAGCAGCCCGGTGTCTGCCAAAGACGTTCGTTGCAATAAGCGATTCTACAATTGTGCGAGAAGGAATTTTGGGACATGTAGTATAACACTTAAGGCCCGTTCACACTCTTGCGACCTGTTAAATCTAAGTTCCTTAAAACTTCTTAAACCAGAAAACACACTGGCGCCATCTATTGGGAAGCAGTGTAAACTCGGCGGTCCAGCATATTTTTTTTTTTTATTTCTCGCGCATTATCCTTTTTTTGTTCGCTCGAAAAACTTTTGTCAATGTTATAAACGAGCCTTTCTATGTATATTACGCACATTTGACCTCGGAAATCCCGCAAAACCTTCGCTTTTGTGAAATGCAGTTCCAGGGTCACCGCATAGATGGCGCCACAATGCCAGTGTGTTCCCTCATTCTAAAAACATTTAAGAAGTTATGAAAGATCTCGTCTCTCTCAGTCGTACTCGGTCGCAAGAGTGTGAATAGGCCTTTAGGCAACATAACATGTAAAGAGGGGTAAAAATTAAAATCAGGATAATATCACGAAAAATATGTGAAAAGACTATTTGCTATATGCTTTTAAAAGGAATGCATATTTTTAAATGTAGTCATGCGACCTGTTTTAACTGAGCAAGTATAGGTAGCTGAAACCACCACCTTCAAGGTAAAGAGCTCAGTTGAAAAATGTAGAGCCCTTCCACTTCACGTGAAGATGGAGGACCAGCGAAGCTGCTATCTTTACGACGTCTAGGACGATGCCTAGAGGACGAAGTCTAGGATGACCTCAAGGACAACTTCTGGGATGACCTCGAGGACGACTTCTAGGATGACCTCAAGGACGACTTCTAGGACCATCTCGAAGACGACGGATAGGACGACCTCAAGGACGACTTCTAGGATCATCTCGAAGACGACGGATAGGACGACCTCAGGGACGACTTCTAAGACAACTTCAAGGACAATGTTTAGGGCGACCTCAAGGGCAACTTCCAGGACGACCTCTAAGATGACCTCGAAGGCGACCTCAAGGATGACTTCTAAATCGGCCTCGAGGACAACTTCTCAGACGACCTCAAGGACGACGTCTAGGACGACCTCAAGGACGACCATAAGGACAACACCTAGAGGACGTCGTCCTCGAGGATGACTTCTAGGACGACGCCCAGAGAAATTCAGCCTTTCCACTCTGGTGAAAACCAGAGTGGAAGGCCAGAACGTTTGCACCCATCTACAAGCTACAGCGGCAACCAGACAACCAGCAAGCTGGTTGTCTGGTTGCCACCGTCGCTCATAGATAGCGGTAGATGTCCGGAGTTTTGAGTTCACATTTGTTTGACCGCGGACACGATACTGAAAACTAGCATTAAACAGCTCCGCTGTAAAAAGAAAATTCCAAAGCAGCTGGTATATCTAAAAGGTGGTCTATAATGCAATTCTACAACTGCAAGCAAAATAAGTGCTTACCTCGGTGCGTAAAACTTCCCTCTCCTCTGGCCGGCAGTCTGAAATGAGTGAAGCAACAGACACAGTCAGTTTGTTCAGTACGGAATTTTAAAAAATGCTCATCAAAACTCGGTAATGTCAGCATTGCGTCCACGCAAGTTCTCCCAGTGAGAGTTCCGAGAGGACACTTACTGCTCGTGAAAGGAATGGCAATGTCAAGGGCGTCCTGGTAAGTTCTGAGTGCATCTTGAAGCCGGTTAGAGACTGCCTGAAAAAACACACAAATAAAACAATATAAAATTAGATTCTAACAAAATGTTTTTGAACTTAGCTATCATTATTTCATAAAGAGGGAATTTTTTTTTTCACTGTTAAATACAAACCCCATTTCCTAGTGTTGTGAGAATATTCGAAATTTTGAAGTTTCAGAAAATATACACTACTCTTTGTTTGCTTCGAGAAGAACTGCAATATTCATGTTTCTGGAAGTGTTGATTGCAGTGGGTTAGGCCCATTAAGTGCACTTCTTAAAAAGCGTATGTAAAGGAAACTTTTTTTTTCTTCTAAACAGCCTGGATGGAAAAAGGATATCATAAAATAAATTAACAACTAAAACAAATAATGTAGAGCTGTATTTACGGCGCAAAATGAATTTGTAGTTGGCGACCACGGGAGCCCGCGTAAAAGTGGCTACTAGCGTCACGTGACTGGCCACTAGTCACGTGGTAGACCTGTGCGCAGCCGCAAATTACACCGGAGCTGTTCAGCGCCACTGCTGAAGTCCCCAGAGCCCCGCCACCGCCGCCGTACGCTGAGCGTGGCATGCGACCAAATGAACGCGTGTTTTTTCATCTTTATATGCAGAAAGCAACTTGAAGTATTGTTTGAAACTTAAATAAGAAAAAAAAACCTTCACGAGTCTTATCTAGTCAAAAAATTAAAAAATAAAAAGCGCAGAAAAGAGTCATCATCATTATTACTTAGCAACTTTTCTTGACGATGAATATCGGAATAGAAAACATAACTCGTAACTCGTAAACTATGAGTTACAAGTAACAAATCAAGCAGGTGTTACGATTTAAAGTTTTCCAGCAATGCATACAGCAACAGAGTAAGCTAGTAATAAACAGAAATCACTTTTTAGGAGAGAACCTCAACTCACAAAGACCACACCTGTTTGCCTTGTAACTTGTTGCAAGAACAACACCACTCGTGATTACCACAATTTGCCAGCAAGCATTTATGGTGATTTGACGAGTCATCTCACAAATGGTTTTGGGATGTTGCTTTCTTTGTGTTTCGTCATCTTGCTCTCGGCGGCGTGCCATATATCACTACAAGCTCTTGTACACCAAGTAAGCTATCAGGCAAAAACAATTTTTCACACTTCTCCGCATAAGAAATGAAATCGGCAGCTGCGCAATCAGAAGTCACACAGACAGGCTGCAGGACAGGCTTGTGACGCGACATACCAGTTTTTTGGCAGCGTTCACCAGAAGCAGAGCAGTTTGCAAAGGTGGATATCTGTCGCAGAGGTCTTCTGCAAAAGAAAGTGACCGCAATAAATGAAACCAACACGCAACATAAGAGAAAAACAACATTCAGACGTGTATTTATTTGGTTGCATGTGCCAAATAATCATCAAATAAGCGTGCCAACCATAGCCAGGACACACTTCAAAGCAGATGAGTACAATCTTCTGAAGTATCGCAAACCACCTCTCCGAAAATACATTCCCTTCCCTAACTCGATGACCGAGGCAAAAAGAAATCCTCTAGACTCACCGTGATATTTCATCAACCTTTAAACAAAAATTTATACTGTTTGGTAATTCTCATTTTTAAACAAACAAACAAAATAAATGATGAGGCAGTTACTCTAACTGCCAATATTTGTTCCCATCTAAGAGGATACTAAAGAGGTGTTTGAACTTGCTTTTTATGGCGATAACTAAATCTATGTGTTTGAAGTCTCCTAAAAAATCTAAAATTACGATCATGCGTGGCCTATTTCCGCACCGAAAATGTTATCAAAGGTCGCGATTAAGACATGCAGCAGACACTACAAACACTCTGCTCCAAAATTCAATTTTCATGTTAAAGTACTGTCTCCTGAGGCCATTAGCCCGCACCTATAGTGGGGTGGTATTCACTGGAAGCGATATTTAAGGGCACTGTTTAGAGCGCTTTCTCAGAACGAGGTCACATTAGTAGGCTGCTAAGTCCGGCAATCTTGATGGTGTGGAATGCACATTGCAAGAGAACCGTGGAAGATCGCCATCAGCACGCACTCAGCAGCCGCGCACACAGCTATGGCCGCCACTGAATAGTCCCATAGCATTAAGCACTCTTCCTTCCCAGTATACTTAATTCCAGACTAAATTAAATGTTCCACTTAACGTGCAAGTAAATAAACTTGCACATGTAGCTTATCAAAAGCCTACCATCACCTCACATACGGTAAACACTTGCTTAAACCAACGTTGGTTTAACAAATATTTCAGATAATGAACGTTAAAAAAATATCCCCGGCGGTTTTCCTATGCATTCTATGCAAAAATGTTTCAGTTAAACGAAAAACGAATTATGGAATAGCGATTACTTCAGTTCAACGAACCTGATCGAAGGATCCAGGATTATTTTTGCTACCAGTTCAACCATGTTTGTGCTCTGCAGTGCTGGCGTAGCCGATGTCCGCCGCCCCTGCAGCGCCAGCGTATCATTGCTGGCATTTACAGCACCGCCGAGGCAAAGCGGTGGTGCAGTAGACGAAAACGAACCACGTGCTGAGTCTGTTCTTTCTTTGTCATCGGTTCCGTTTGGCCATCTTAGTTTTGGGTAACAATGGCAGGACGGCAGTCTGTGCGCCCACTTTCATAATGAGTACGACGAAACGGAAGCGGTTGTCTCTATCAGACATGCTCAAAATCCTTCGGCGTCTGGACAACGGTCAAAGGCAAGTGGACGTTGCGAAGGACTATGGGATTCCATTGTCGACATTGTCAACGATAGTGAAGCAAAAGTCGAAGCTCGAGGGGGAAAGTGCGTTCAATCCCAACGAGAAACGACTCTGCACGAGATATTTCGAGCCAGTGGACGATGCCGTTGTGGTATGGCTTCGTCACAGCAACAAGCTGTGCCGCAGGAAGTGCAAAAAAACACTCTCTGGATAGCTTTGTTACTTTATGCACTTTAAGAGTGCCAATGCAAATGAAAATTACAGATTTCTTTTTTTTTAAATGAGAAAGGCAGCAACGTAACTGTTATGCACTTTGTATACTATATCTATGTACATGACTCCATAAATTGCATTTCACACTTCTGACTTGATTTATATTGTGCCCTATGCTGTTCCGTACTCTAGTAAATAGATTCAGTTTAGGGAACTTTCAGTTAAGTGAACTATTTTCTTGGGTCCCTTGAAGTTTCTCAAGTGAGAATTTACAGTATATTAATCGAATTTTCTGTGTGCTTGTGTCTATTCTGTGCTAGTTCAATCCTCTTGACAACCATTAAAAAATAATTGTCTCGCAGTGACTTTGCAGGCACTGCAAAAACCGGCGACATTAGAAGGAACGTGGGACAAGCAACAAACAGCAACAAGATGTCGATAGCAAGACGACTGCTTACCAAACTCGTTGGCACCTCCGTGCCGAACGTCCTCAATGAGCAGTGCCTCTTTTGACTTGAGAGCGGACTTCAGCACCTCTGCTCGCTGGAGGTACTCGCTAACCTGTGGCAACGGCCAAACAAGTTTAGAGAATAGCGACAGAAAGGTGCAAGAGGGGATGAAGTGAATCGATCAGTGCGCGTAAGAGTGAGTGACTGAGTGAGGAAACCAAGTTAGCGTAAGAAAAATTGCTAAAGAGAATTTGTGGCAGTGTCAGTGTGTGTTTTGAGTGCAGGCGAGAGGGTGTGTGTGTGTGTGCGTGTGTGTGTGTAAGTAAGCCCCAAGGTTAATTTAGAATACTTAATTAAGTTCAGGTCAACTTGGCCATGGGCACTTTTTCTGCCCATTCTTCATTCATGCAGCATGGAGAAGTTAGAAGTCCCATGGCCAAAGTGAAAGCGAGGGACCAGGAAACCTTGCGACAATTTCCAACATAATTTGCAAAATATTCAAATTTCTGAAGAAGGATTTCAGGGCCATACGAAACCAACAGTGAGCTAAATTCAAACTGCAGCGAATTAAAACTAAGCTTCCCACATTTAAGCTTGGCCTGGCTTCCTACATCTAGACAGATTACTCTTCTGTATTCTTCACAACTCAAATAAGATTGCTTAAAAAAAAAAAAAAAAATACAGGACAATAAAAAGACAATAACCTTGGCTTGAAGCGACTTCCATTTCTCCAGATCTGTTTCAGCTGAAATGACAAAAATGCCACCATAAAAATGCTGCACAAATGTGACTTCATACCAACTGTACAGGAATCTTTGTGAATTAGATTCTTGTTATAGTGGACGTCCTGAATCGTCGCCTTATATGCATGCCTACAAGTCTAGTAAACTGAGACTAACGCAATGTCAATATTCGAATCACCCTGCACAGTCATGGTAGACTAGAAGAGCTGCTGGGGAAGACAGAAAATCGAGAACAAAGAATGGAGTAAAATCTCAAACGAAATCTATCGTTCCAACCTGACCCTCAGTAACTCTCCCCTCTTGCTGCCACTATACACATCTTTCTGCACAACTGCAACATTCTCTGAGCTAGTTAGCTGCCAATAAGAAGACAAAAACGTTCTAGAGTGCAGCTCTTAGGCGCCCGTTTGCAGGTCGAGCGGCGACGGCGTAACCGCGCAAAATTTAGCGGAAAAATTGGACCTCAACAGCAATTCAATTCCGTGCTAAATTTAGAGGGGAAAATGACGTCGTATGTCTTGGTGTCACGTCACCTATGAACAAATTTAGTTTCTCTGCTAGATTTAGCGGGAAAATTGATATCACGTGACCTCAACAGCAATTCAATTCCCTGCTAAATTAAGCGGGAAAATGACGTCACATGATTGGTGTCACGTTACCTAAAAATAAATTCCGTTTCTCCGCTAGGTTTGGCGGGAAAATTGACGTCACGTACGGAGGAGTAGGAGGGAAGGGTACGGAGGAGGAGGTGGAGGAGGAAAGGCAGAGAGGATGGGGAGCAGGCGAGGAGGAGAGGATACGGAGGAGGATTAGGGCATACCCTCCCCTCCTCTTCGTCAAAAACTTCACTCGAATTTCGCGCTACAGAAATTTGTAAATGTCTAATTTTTTTTTTTAACAGATACTCATAGGTCTTACTTCCCTCTGTTGAATCCCAAGCTCAAAGAATCGGTTTTATACATACTAGGGCTGGGCACTTAATCGATTAACCTAGTGATGAGTCAATTATTGCTTTAATTGCGATTACATTTTTAAAACCAAATAATCAATTAAATTCTGACAAAAAAAAAAAGAAGAGCTCAACGTTCTTACTTCGCAGACATGAACAAGTACACCTGTATGAACACAAACTTTAGGAGACGTTTTGACGTAAAGTAAGCACTAGGGTCGAGATTTGTAACTCCAAACAAGTGGAGAGGGTTGTACGTGTCCCAGCCACTTCCAACGCCGTGCGAGTGTCTGTTTAGCGCAGCAGAGACTATTATGAACAATCAAAGGAGTTTGTTATTGCCAGAGAATACCAACAAACCCCTTTGCCTCTGCAGCTGAAGTAATAATTTGCGAGTGTGGGTGACTTCTGGCTGTTCTCAAATACACATCAAGGTTGATTTAAAATCTGAATTTGCATATTTTGCCGTCTATCACACATTCAGCAAAGGCAAGAAAATGTAAATTTACTTTTTTAAAAACTGTCGTGCACTTGAATGACCGATACCAATTAATAAATCAATTAAACGGTGGTGATTAATCCGGTTAAGATTTTTAATCGATGCCCAGCCCTCACACATACTAGGATTGCCTAGAAGAGATTTTATGCATAAGGGTCTTTCTAAGATGTCAAATGCAGCTCTCCCTTCTACTAATGAAACTCTGGTACAATTCAGTTCAATTCAATTACACTTTATACAATAGCGCAAGAGGACAGGAACATGAAAGGGACAGTACAAGCACTTTTCCTGTCCCTTTCATGTTCCTGTCCTCTTGTACTAGTAGACTCTCATTCATTCAAACTCCAGGAAGTCACAAATTTTAGTTTGATGTATCAGAAGTTTGGATTATCAGAAATTCATCTAAATATGATACTAGACAACATTATGATTTGTTACACGGATAGCTACACATACAAATCAGATTTTTGCCAGTTTCCTCTACATAAGCCTAATTATAAGCAAGTACAGGCATATCACATTGGTGAAAGAACTGAACTTTGTCTTTGTGGACGTCCAGAACAATGGGCGCAGACTAGAGTCCGTAAAACGCATTTAGTGTACGTCAGGTATTGCGATGATACGGGAATACAATTGAATCATTAATTCAAACTCCAAGAAGCCAGGATTTTTGTTTAAATTATCGCAAGTTAGAATTATCAGAAATTCATCTAAATATGATGCAAGATAAAATTATGTCATATGAATGACTACACATACAAAGCAAATATTTAGTGATTTTCTCTACATAGGCCTACTGATCATAAGCAGGTATGCCATACATAAAACATTTGTGAAATGTATGACCTAAGTTCATTTATCCTTTAAAACGTTGTTTATCGTGGACTGTTTAGACAGCAGATCACAACTCAAAACAAAATTAACTTTGTTCATCAGGCCAAGAGGTTGTCCAATGTGGACTACAACACAGGGAACACATGAGCAATGAAAACTGGCACCGCGCGGCAGTTTCCATAACAACTTGCGCGGACACTGTGACGTGGACCTATGCCATGCCACCACGACACAGCGTGCATGCAAGTTACATTGGAAATGTTTGCGTGGTGCCCGTTTTCAGAGCTCCTGTGTGCCCGCTTGAGCCCCGTTGAGTGCGCTTCTCACTGAGCACTGGTGCACCTCGGAGAAGCAGCGCCCGCGGAAGCATGCTCTGCGGATGTTGCTTCTCTGCAGCGCACCAGTGCTCGGAAAGAAGCGCACTCAACGGTGCCGCGAGAACAAAAAGTATGAATTAGAGGGGCTCTGCAAGGACTTTTTTACTGGTTTTTAATTTGCACCGAGCCTGGGCACACTGAACGTAGTAACTTAATGAAACTTTTCTTTTCTCGGATGTCGCTTTATTTTAAAAGTTATAGGCAAATTAAAATTACAAAAACAAGCAAAAAATAACCTCCTTCATGACGTCCTTGGTTGCTTGAGTGGCCGTGAACTAAAGGAGGGGTAGTGAGTTCAGTGAGCGGTCACAGCTGCCGCACTCCGTGTCGACGGCTCAAGAGGGCGCCACTACGGCATGTTCTGGCTAGGCTGTATGAAGCGGGCAGCCAGGGCGGCTCGCACTGCATTTGCTGCACGATTAAGCACTAATTCGGCATGACACTTCATTGGCCACAAATGACAGCAAATACGGGGTAAAGATCAGTTCAGAACGGGAGCCACTTCGCGCTGCCATACTGCCAAAAGGCCAAACCGCAAGCCAAAGCTGCACGCCGAAGGCCTTGGGAACGCTCGGGACCGGTCGGATCCTCCAGTCCACACGACCGCAGTGCCGCCACGTACATCCGGGACCTTTCTACGCTCGCCTCTCGTTGGTGCGTGATCTCACTACACCTTTCTAGTATGCACCGCCTTTTCCACCGCTTGGTGGCGGGTATGTCGACGGGTCATTTATTGTTTCCATACTTTCTAAACTGCATTTTTTTCTTCTCTGATCTAAAATAGTGAACAAAAACTACTTTTATAAATAATTGAAATGGTCCACGCCACTTATATCTTGTATTTTGACTAAAAAGAAGCTTTTAGCAGCTCTGACCAGTAGTAAGCCCAGGACCAAAGACTTCACATATTGTGTGTTTTCGGCACCGCGGGTCGCCCTCGTAGGAGGAGGAGGTTTCCGCGTCGTCTGGTTAAAATATGACGCATTGATATTTAGTTACTCTCTCCGTGCCCGCTGGCTTGCCCATACCCCGAGGGACGTGGAAACTGCAAAAAAGGTAGACGCTTAACTATGAATGCAGGGTCCCTTTAAGCGAAAACGCCGTTCGAATTAAGCGGCTTATAAATACATTAAAAACATAGCGGGACAATCACAATTTTTAAATCTGTTTGAATTAACCGGCAGTATGAGATATCTGAGTTTGAATTATCGCGAGCCTACAATATATATGATGTTTAACCAACAAGCTTAGCAATAGACTGATCTCACCAGGAGTTGCACGACACAACTGCCGCAGTGCAATTTGGTACCTGTAGTTACCCCCAGTTTTCCGGCCGTGTCAATGCGCCTAAAATGCCCGGCGTTTGGAAATTTTTAGGTTAGCACGAGACCTTTAGCCGGGTATTTATTTGTGGTTTTCGATGGGTGGTTTCACTTGTTGTTTGCTACGGAGCTATAATAACAGCACCAGGCAAAAAGGTCTCGGATATTATGTCTTCACGAAAGAAAGAAGCATGGCAAAGAATGGTGAACGGAGCCGGGCAGAGCGGCAGAAAAAATGGCGTTTTACGATTTGTTTGGCGATCTGATTTATAATTTATATCGATGCTATTGCATGTCAGCTAAAATGCGTAAGATTACAGGGCACGAGTCACAAAGCGTGCCGAAGTGTTCCATACGCTGGAATCTCTTTGAGCATTCGCTCCGTAGCAGTCTATCCGTTGGTCTATCTCAAATAGGACCACCGCACTGCTTTGCGGAGGCCATTTTTAATACACTTTTTGCTCGATGTATTTTGGTGGTTATAACTGCTTATGTGACATCATGTTTCAAGCACAACTGTGCTTCAAAAGATAAGGACAATCGCTAAAAAAAGAACAGCGATTCCCGATATGCTTCACTTGAAATAATCTTTCTTCCGAAGCAGTCTTCATTTTTTTTTTTTTTTCTCATACAAACCTGAAAACACCGTATAATGCAATTTGGAAGTGCAGCACTGACTGCCAAAATTGTAACAAACAAACTTCATCCATTTTGTGGTGGTCTATTAGGCTGACATTACTGAGCCATTCTGCATTAACACCAATCGAGACCGCAGAAAAAAGCTTCCACCGTCAGGCGACTGTTACCGTTCGGGACTTCCGCAAACAAAATAAAACTGAATAGAAACTGTACACGAAAAATCATTTCCACCCCAATCTTGCAAGTATCTGGCATGGTCGCTTCTTTTTGACAGATGCCAATTGTTACAGCGCGTCGCGCATGGCCTCTCTGTAGATCATTTCTTCTTTGTGTGCAGGCCTCTCCCGCAGTTCATCTGCACCCTGTTGCACAGACTGTCAACCAGAATGAAACAACTTTTAGAAAAGTATCGCTCACCGAGAAAGTCTATTTAGCTCCTCTTACTTCATTGTTGATTAAACATTATGCACAACACTGATCACTACCAAGCTCAGTTTTTCATCAACACATCTGATGCTGTTCCGCGGTGCTACACCGAGCCGATGGTTCCTCGAATTTTCTTGTTCATTGGCATTGCACTAGTGGTTCACTTGCTTACAAGTTAATTGAGAAGTCCGAGCAGTTGGGATGCTCAAGTAGTGACATTGTTGTTTTTCCCCAGCGGCCGCAGTGGGATCACCGCGTGAACGGCAGTGGGCTCACGCGTTTACGAAGACGACGAAGCAGACAACAAAGCGATTCTAAAGCGGTAAGACGACTGGGACTGCTTTTCTGTGCTTGCTGACAAACTAAGGCCTCACAAACAACACAATCTTACGAAGTACAGACATGCAGGAGAATCAAGCTGATACCAGGGCGTCCCAAACAATAATCTACGATGATGTATGCGCAGCCCTATGTAGCCGGAAAGCTGGAAAAGGAGGACTACAAGTAGCATGGTGGCGGCACCACTTCCGGATTGCGCGCGTCTGCGCACTTCGCTTGGTGACATTGGTCTATTGGTTTTACAGTCGCCGACCGATTTTTCGGACTTTGATAATTCGGACTTGTTCGATATTTCAGACCTAAAGGAGGAACCGTGACTTGCCCCACAAAGATAATGCATATTCATGACCAATGTTCCGGACAGCTTGAAGTCCGAAAGTTCAATCATTCAGACAAAACCGTTGCAAGCGATGGGCGGGAAACACCACCGAGAAGCGGCCATTTTAAATTTTAAGTTGGCTGCAAATGGATTGGCTTGGTTTGGCAGTGCTACTTGAGTACTCCTGAGTCCTACTGCCAGGTGATGCTGTACGGCTTTTTTTTTTTTTTTTTCTCACTAGCTGCGTGTCATTATTATGATCATTGTTGTTTCCATTTTGCTTTGTTCATTCGCCATTGCAGTCATGGATTTGCGCCTCTCATCTCGACTTGGTGAATCATGTTTTCGGACTTTGGACGTCATTGCGCCCCATCTGTTCTTCTGCCACCGTGATCTGTTGCTAATAAGCGCGGAAAGAGTACTTGACCATAACGCTAGGAAAGATGGCAGCGATTCTCAAGCTAACAGAAAGTTGCCGAACGCAAATGGAGGCGTAACCTAAAACAAGGCGTGCAGGCGTAACCTGAAGCAAGACACTATTTAAGGCTTTTTAAAACCCGCTTAGATGTAATAAAGGCAAGTTTTTTAATCTGCTGATTTTTCGGACTGCTCTATTATTCCGACATTTTTTCTGTTTCTGCGAAGTCCGAAAAATTGGTCGGCGACTGTAATTCAATTCAATCTTTTTATTTATCTTCATTTAGAGAAGCGCAGCAAGAGAAAGAGCAAAAAAATTGCGGTGGCTTAGCTCATCTATGCCAGGATATACGTAGCGTGAGCTTATGTGCACAAAATGAGAGGCACTATCAAGCGGCTCCGGTGCAGCGTCAGACTTGGCTACTGCGCAACGGAGGCGCACAGCTGGGCACGCGGCCGTGCCAGTACGTCTGCCGCAACTATGACGCGGCAGACGGGCGCGGCGGTGGCGGCTTTGGCACGCCAGCTGGGTGCCGTGTGACGTCACTGCTCTTCGCGCATGTGCAGCACGGGGCACGGCTCATTATGCGAGCCACGCGAAACTGCTCAACCTCGGCCAGTGTAGCTCACGCTACAAAAAGGGATGCTTGAAAAGGGTCTGTCTCTACCAATCGCAGCCGGAAAAAATCACGAAACGTTTGATACTTAGACATCAAGATAATAAAAGCCCTGAAATGACTGAATAGATATAAAATATGTCCACAGGTGAAAGTATCCTTCGGTTATAAAAAAAACTAAAAAAAGCTTTCACGTGGTAAACCTTAGGTTAATGTACCAAAGAAGCAATAGGTATATGGACATACATTTTGAGCAAGAGGGGAAGAGCTAGATAAACATCAGTTTCAGGGCGAAAAAGTTACTCACTTTGTAGCACGGGCAACAGGTACTGGAGCCCCATGCAGTACAGGTGCAGTGCCTCCCGTAGACTCCCCTCGCTGTCTTTTGCCACTGCCCTCTGAATGAGGTTCACCTGTTCAAACAAAGCAAATGCCAATCTAAAACGCAGTAAAACAAAAAAAAAAGCCACGTTTGGTAACAGTGGCTATATACATTCTGAGAAGGCCAAAATGTTTGAAGTGCACAAACAGTCTAGAGTCTGACCGCTAGACCGTCCCGAATTTCCACCGCGCAAAGCGGTGAAACGTTAAGCTTCACCGCCTTACGTCGACGTGTGCATTGAGCTTCGCCGCGTCGCATCGGTGCTATAGGAGCGGTGAATGATAACGCGGGTTAGAGTTTAGGTTTAGCTCAATGGTCTCCTAAGCTTTGTTCGCCCCTACGGGTCAACAGACTCCGGTTAAAATCATGCAGCGACCCCTAGTTTCGAAGTAACAGAAAAACTCACGTTAGCCCATATTTGAGTAGACACGGCAGTTCCTCGACAGCCGCGAATGTTGACACGAAATAAAATGTTGCACAAGAATTGTTCCGTGCCTCGTCCGTGGCCTCTCTAAGAGTGTCATCCGGTGTTACGTTTTCCCGGATGCAACCTACTTTTTACCGCTGTCCCAAAAAATACCGTATATGAACGAGTTTCTACTGTACTTTCGTTGCCTCAAAACGTATTTTCTCTGAACTCCCAGTTATAATGGCCTTAATGAAAGCATCTTTAAAGACTGCTTCACACATTAGCGTTTGACTGTGATTGACAGTGCTACAACCACAACACGCGACAGCTTACGACGAGAGAAGACACTGGCACGTTTGAATCGTGTACAAGGTGGCCATGAGATTGTTTTCATTAGCGTGGAACTAGACAAAAGGTTTTGCAGTATTTGCAACATCCCAATCCGGCCACCCCTCTTATAACGTTGTCGGAATTATTTCAAGCTTGCGGCGAAAGAAGGACGCATAAAATACATGCAGACATGAAGCTTTTCAGGGCTCTCTGCTAGATGAAGCCAGTGTATCATCTCGTAAGTCGTCACAAGTGCTTGTAGTGCAGTCAATCACAGCCAAATGCAACTGTGTGAATTACCAGTAAGGTATACAAATTTTAGAAAATGTATGGCAAATTGCTAGGCAATTGTGTTGCACACGTGGAACATTCCAGCACCAAAAACATTTAGCAATACTCAGTTTACAGATGCCAGACGCCTACGTTCACAGGGCTCTTCGTCAGACAGTTTAACGCATACCATGTGTACACTTGATAGTTGTTCCTAGAATGAAGCGATACTACCGCTGACGGGACTGATAAACCTGGGGATCCTCCAGAGCCTTCCATACTCTCGAGCACCTCTCCCTCAGTGCGCACAGGCGATCGAGCTACTCCTTGCCTACCCCTCTGGTCACATGACATCCCCGTTAACCAATCAGCTTTGAGCACCTTGCTCCTCTTCTATCAACCGTCAAACAATCAGTGTCAGGCTTCGTGGCCACGCTTTTATCTGGGCTTCACGAAATGCCGAACATCTAGCCAAAGAATGTTTCACGTTAATAAATAAAGTAGATGTCAATGAATTATCACGAAGGAAGTAGATGCTGTTTGGGACCGTCATACAGTCGATGCACAAATATGAAAAGAGCTTTGTATCTGATAAGAAATAGAGATAAGAGCTGGAGAGGAACTCCCATGCACACAAAGTCTACAACCCTTGTGCCTGGTAAACATAGTGAGTGCAACGATAAGAGGAGCATCACATTGCCTCAGACCAAGGAAACCGTCATTACATACACCTTTGTCGAAGGACTCCGGAGTGGGAAGGTGCTCCAAGTCCACAAAAGGGTGCGTGAAGAACTCCTCGAAGTTGATCCGCCTGTCGGGGTCCCGCTCCAAAAGCCTGAGCAGCAAGTCTGCGCAGCTGTCCGAAATGGCCATGCCTTCCGGAAGCTGAACCAACCGAGACAAAGCGGGGAACTCGGTCGGTAATTTGCAATGAAAAGGGCAATGCACCGTTCACTTAAACTATCTTCAAATTGCTTGGAGCGTTCCCCAGAACAAATGTAATTTTTGGTGCAATATATGTGTTGCGGGACTCATTTGAGTAGTTCCGAAATGTACTTATATTTTGGGGCCGACGTCTCAAGAAAGCGTTTTCTTCAGAATCCCTCCCAACTTAGAACGAGTCCTCTAGCATAAATATAGTTAAAAAACAGAAGCGTGTTGTCTGCTGTAAGTTGTTTGCTGCTCAATCCATTTTTTTCAGATTATTCACTGTTTCTCAGTGTTACAGAATTGAAAAGAAATTGTGCCCAATTGCAAGCCTTGTCACATCGCTGGAAACTCGCTCGTCTAACACTGTTCTACAAACTTTATCATCGTGCCTCGCTTCACAATGATTTCTTTCAGGCCCCTCACATTATTTTTTCATGCTGGGATCAGTCGTATAGAGTTAAATGTATCCACATGCCACTCGTCTCTTTCTGCACAATCATTCGTTCCGGAAACAATAATCGATCGGAATAACCTGCCAGCACATATAGCAATTGAAGATGATCTAGCAAAATGCCAAGATGCGTTGACAACAACATTGTCATTTTTTTCTCTCGTCTACTTAACCTGTACCTAGATATATCTCATTCATCATTTTTAGATGTTTGTGTTCATATTGTTTTGCAGTCATACTTATACATTATTTACTTTCTGTATTCTTATGCACACCCCCCCTTTCCTCCTATGTAATATTCTCTCTAGGAGTGCCATTAGGAGTAGGTATTCTGAATAAATAAACAACATTAACATTACACTAAAATATACTATATCTATAGTTTTTTTTTTCTTCTAGGGAATGTTTATTTTCTGTGATGCGTCCCATCCCGATGCCTAAAAAAAACGCTTTTCTTTAGTTCCGCATTTCTTTTGGGGCTCATAACGAACCAGCGCAAAGGTAGACAGTTACTCAAAATCCAAACACGCAGAAAGATACACTCACACAGCGCTGAACTATCAACCCCCCTGATTTGTATTTCAAACTTCCTCTTCTTCGACCCCAAGGAATAGGTTGCCAAGGAAGAAAAGGGGAAAGACAAGGCAAAGGGAGGAACGCAAAAGAAGAACAGAGATGAATAGAAAAACGAAAATAGAAGACAAAGAAAAGGAAAATAAAGGAGAAAAGCAGAAAGGAATCATCTCTGTTTTTCTTCTTCTTTCGCCTTCCTCCCTTTGCCTTGTCTTTCCTCTTTTCTTCCTTGGCACAAAGAAACTTGAATGTCACTGGGTTAACTACACTAGTCTTGTCAGCTTTCAAGGATCCTGGTGGATGCCGCCGGAAAGTATCACTCCCGTAACTGAAGTATATTTTTTTTCTTTCCGGGATAAATTATTTTTGACATGCCGGCACCACCTAAAGTGCAGCTTTCTGAACTTCCAAACGCATTTATCTCAGTTTCACATATCTGCATCGTCTTAGTTCAGGAAAACAATCCTTTGATAATGAATTGATCTGTGGAGCCACTCTGAGCTTACTTTCTGCATTTCCATGGTCTTTTGTCATAAACACCTGCAACACCTTCAACCTAATGCATATAAAAATAAGATTTTTTTGTCACTTTTTTTTAAAATTATAACTGGTATAATTTCTGTGATTTCTTTTCAAAACTGCCGCGCGACACGGTTGTTATAATGAATGTTTCCCCAAAATACCTCGCCATTTCCATTACCTTTCTTAAATGATAGATTTCCCTCGTGGTTGCAGTGTTTATTTGATGTGCCTTTACGTTACTCTTTGAAAGATAAACCTATGAACTTAAAACTCTGCATGTCAATCTCTTTCCCAGCTATGAATATGGCCTGAAAATTTCATACCAATAAGACCGGTGGTTCAAAAGTTTGCCTTCCTAAGTGGGGATCCTCCGTAAACCTTAATTAATATAATTAAATTGCATATTAATAATATTGTTAATAAGCAATATACTAGGCAAAATTTAATAGGACGAATGGGGCAAATTTAAACGCTTGCATTTTTGTTTTTTTATTATGGACGATTTTTTGGGGAAACGAAGGCCTCCAGTTACAAGGGACGACAGTACCGATTGAGCAAGCGAGGCAGCGGAGGCGACCTCGAATTCAGCACCCAAGCCTCCTGCAGTACTGCACGGGGAACAGGAAGCATAAAACTTTCAGCCTTTTTACTTTGGTGAAGAACGAAGAGCAGCGGAGCTGTAGCTCCTGTTCTCGAAGGTGGCTTTCCAGGCGAGCGATCTGCTCTTCTTTCGCAAGGTAGTCTGAAGCGCTCGATGCAGTGAAACTTAATTAGATAACGGCCTCGCAGTGGTTGCGGAACCATTCGCGCTGCTGCGCACATCGCCACTCGTTCCGCTCCCTTTCTTTTTCCTCTGAAGAAAGGTTGCCACCATCTATAAGCGACGGCAGCAACCAATTGTCTGGTTGCCGCCATCACTCATAGATGGCGGTAGCTGTCCAGAGTTCGCGGTGTCATCATTTCTTTGCTGGTAGACACGATCCTCGGGAACCTAGCCCCTAACAGCTCCACTGTAAAGATGCTTAAAGACCCAACGAGATCAAGAGGAGAATGCTATCAGTGCTTGCCTTAATGGGCTCGTTGGTGCGGATCTTTGCGGCAACCTCTTCGAACGTGGGGGACGAATAAGGGGCACTTCCAAAAAGGCATTCTGTAAAGCAGAGGAGAAATCAATTGGGGTTCCTTGGAATCGGGCAACACATGCCTCTCTCCAGAATACTGGCTGTACATATATGTATGCAACACGCACAGGGAGAAACTAATATACGAAAAGGCCCGTTTGTTTCCGGCGTTTGAAGTGAATTCCCTCGTTCTAACTCGTCGAAAATCGATGAGCCTTTTCGTCCCATACCCTTTCCAGGCTGTGCCTTTTTTATGGTTGTGGCTTTCATTGTGCCATATTGATGAGAGTGCAATTATCAAGCAAAACAAAAGTGACCCATAGTGAGATCCATATTACGAACCAAACTACATCTAGCTATTCCCAAACAGACACATAACTTGCGGTGCAGAGGCGAGTTTTGGCGTCCAAGGCTGCGCTCGCACCCGCGAACAACGAAGCATGAAAACATGCGCCGTCATTCTCCAGAAGACGTACCAATTCATCCGTAAAAAAACCCATTGAGTCGATTCACAAACTTCGAAATTGACAATGTCGTAATAAGTGGGAACATCCACAAAAATATCCAACACACACTCGTAGGAAGCCCATCAAGCCGTCTCACATGCCTCGCAAAACTGGCACGGTCGTCGTAAATGGGCGTTGTAGTAGAGAAAGCTTTGCCACTCACCATACATGATGATGCCGACCGACCACAGATCCACCTTGTTGTCGTAGTGGTCGCTAAGGAGCATCTCGGGAGCCATGTAAAGCGGTGATCCCCTCAAAGAACTCGCGAAGTCGCCCGCTCGCAGGTACTGGGCAAAGCCGAAATCTGCAGAGGAGAGTCGTTCCGGAAGAAAAAAATGACCGCATCTCCACGTGGTGAATGATGTTGATTGGGGCGAAACTCTGGTGGTGCTGATGATACTGATTTTGTTCATAGGCAGTGCTGATGGTGCTGATTTTTTTTTTTATAGCTCATAGGTAGTGCTGAGTTCTGGGTTGCGTTTCGACTTCATTATTACTGCTTTATGGTCGGTGAAATGCAAAGCCAGTGGTTCTTCTAGCGGATCAGCTTGGATCCGCTAGAAGCCATGGGAAAGCATTTCCACCGCTTAAGTCGACGGTCCATGTCAGAAAGAGAATGTGTGGTATGGATCGTGGTTATAACTACGATCCATACCACGCATATATATATATATATATACGCAGTTGAGCATTTGACCGCAGCGCCCTCTTGTCTATAAACGTTGAGCCAATGCGTGCAAAGTTTAATGCGACTATATATGCATTTGACCGCGGCGCCCTCTCCTGTATAGACGTTGAGCGGCCACATGCAACGTTTCATCCATGACATCCGCAGCTCTTGGGTTACTACCACATCTCAGAGCCCTCTACTCGTCCCGCAGTCGTGGCCGAGTGGTTAAGGTGATGGACTAGAAATTCATTGAGGTCTCCCCGCACAGGTTCAAATCCTGTCGACTGTGCAAACATTTTTTCGTTTTTTTTAAGAAGACAGATGGGGTGGCAATCGATGTGAGCACGGGCGCTGAACGAAGAAGGCTAGACCCTGAGGAGCTTCGCCCCTAAAAGGTGACTGCATTTAGATTTTCACATCATCATCACACCGTTTGTGCAAAATCTGATGCATGAATGTTTAAATAGCTGGAAGTTAGCCTGTCTCCTCGCTATCTCAACCTCTGTGCAACACAGTTGCTCAATAACAACTTACCGAAGCTGTTTCAGTTAAAATAGAAAAAAGCTGACGAGCGTCTGACAGCTGCAGAAATGCGAAAAGCGAGAGCGACCTTGAACCCTGTACTAGACAGATTTCAAAAACAGTCACCATATCGTTTGGGTATGTCTCCTATAGGCAAACTTTAAGAATTTATAATAAAATGCGGTAAATGCATGTACAGTAGCAGACAAAAGACACTTTAATGTACGAGCAAGCAAATGAAGACAGGTAAACCTTTCGCACCAGGTTGCGGCCTACACTATGTGGCGAGAGTTTTGAAGTCTTAAACCTTTCACAGGGTAAAAAAAAAGTTATGCCTTATAATGAAAGTTTTGTCTTTTACAGAATACATGTTATTCACGGTGAATAATGTTATCAAAGGCCATTTTTGCCGTCTTTATAATTCTAGCATTTTTTTTTTTAATCCATATATTACTTGTATACAAATATAGCATGTTTTTTTTTTAAATAAATATAGCCAGCAAAACAACACGGAATATCCGCACTGTTGTTTTGCAATCAAAGAATGCCCTATCATGCTGGTTTAGTTTCACATTTGGTCCGTGGACTAAAGGCAACCTGATCTCCAAGGAAGCTCGGAAGAAAACAAGAGCCATGCAGGATCCGGAAATACCAAAATCGTGAAACTGACCAGCCAACTTCAAGAGGGGAGTTCGCACAGACGACAAGAGTATGTTCTGGGGCTTGAGATCCATGTGGGCAATGTTGTGTTCCTGCAGAACCTGGAGGGCCTTTGCTGAAACAGGCACGATAGAATGCACCACTAACGTATGAGCTGTACAAAATGCGTTTGCTTAAGAACTTTGCATGGGGGGGGGGGGGGGGTAGTTTTTTCCTTCTGCCCCACCCAGCTCGATGGAGTCGCTGTGACCCTACCCTTCCTACGGAACTTCAAATCCTACTGAGGAGGCACCTCAACCCTTCCGAGTTGGCCTCTTCACTCCGGGATCAAGTTGGAAGACAATTCCAGACTAGACCGCAGGTCATGAGGCCAACTGCCAGCAAAAACTTGCGCAGAACGCCTCTTCCTCTTGTCAGTAAATTACTTTCTATCAACGAGCGTTTATTTATTTATTAATACTGCAATTTCTCGATGGGATTTTTGCAGGTGGGTACAGCGGTAAGGAAAATACAACAAACTGGTAAAAAGAACAAGAATGAAAACAAGTTGTAGTATGCACTAGAGCAAATATGGTACAAAAAGGAGATAATTTAAATTAGATATAAATAATGACAACGATGGCTGCATAACAACACGCTCAGCAAGGTCATTCCATTCATTTATTGTTTGTGGGAAAAAAGAACACTTAACCTTTAGGGGTCATGTGAGTTTACTCATTCTAGGCCCCCTCTGGTCAAAATTGAAGAATCAGAATTAGCGAGAATAGATCAAATCAATGAGTGATCTCAAATTCAACATCATAACATTCTACGATCAATATGTTCAGTTCGAAATAACTCTGCATTCTCCTGGATATTTTCATTTGAATTACTAAACTATACTAGCGGTATTTGTGCCACATATGACACTTCTGAAGCAAATGCCCGGGTGCAAGGCAGAATGTCGAGTGCAGGTCTTAAAGCTGAAAACAGTGCCACATTTTTGCCCTTCGACTTTCCTGTCACTGCAGACTGCACAGTCTATAAAACGCGGACGAAGTAAAGGCTGCCATGATGAACACCCAAAGCGGGAGCAAAATACCCACTCGTGAATCTAGCAAAACAAAACAAAAAAAGTTTCGCGCCTCTTACAGTATTTATTAGAGGGACAAAAAAAAAACTAAGTATGCATACCCGACAAGAGATGGCGCAAGTTGAAATTGTCAGGAGGTGTCCGACACTTAACCACAAAGGACAAATGGGCCTGTCAGAAGAGCCCCAACACTTCTCCAGAACGGGAATATTTATTTGACGGGAGATCTCCGATAGATGACCCCGAAGGATTAAAGCAAATATTATACGATTGAAATGGAAATATTGCTAAAGCATGCCCTTGTCGAGTAGCATATCCTGACGAGAAAGTGATTAATTCGGACAGGTCTATCCTATAATACCCATTAGATAATTGGTACAAATATTTTAGCCGAGAATGCCGATTTCATTCAGAGACAGTAAATTAGCTGTAGTTAAAAGTTTGGTTACGGAGGCTTGTGCAAAGTTATCATAATTAAAGCGAGCGGCCTTTTTCCATACTTCATCAAATTTATTAATGTTAATCTTAGTGAAAGGATCCCGAACGATTGCAGCATAACCTAATGTTACGACTGCAGTTCTATGTGCGAGAAGATGCTAGGAAGGGGGAGAAAGCTTTAACGTTTTCCTAAGGAAGAACAGCTTCCGTAGGGCATTAGACGTTACATAGCCAATTTGTTTTGTCCAAATAAGATTATTAGTGATACATAGTCCAAGGTATCTATATTGTGTGACCTCTGACAGGAAGTTATCAATAAGATTGTAAACAAACTTGAAAGGACGTTTTCTGTTAGTAATTCTCATAAAAATTTGTTTGCAAAGTTAATGGTCATTTGCCAATCTGCGCACCCTGACGCAATATTTTGAAATGCCTCGTTTAACAAAAGTTGATTTGAGTAAATTCTTTAGTCATCAGCATATAATTTGATTTTTACAGGAACATCCTCGACTATGTCATTAAAATACAGCAAAAAAAGAAGAGGGCCCAGCACAGATTCTTGGGGAACGCCAGAGTCAAGAGAAAGTCGGTTAGAACAATGCTCATCAAAAACTATGCACTGTTGACGGTTTGAGAGATAAGCTGAAATCCATTTTACTAACTTTGTGTTCTTACATATTTGGTCTAATTTTTATATTAGTTTCTTATGGAAAACCTTATCGACTGCTTTCAAGAAATCTATAAAAATACTCGTATCAATGTTTTTTGTTGTTAATTGCCGAGGAAAAATCGTGAACTGTCTTAATTAGTTGAGTACTTTTGGAGAAACTTTTTCCGAAGCCATGCTGATGCTTAGACAAAACGTTATGTTCATCCAGGAATGCTGATCAATGAGTATATGCTCATTAAAGAAGTTTACATGCAGTTGAAGTCAATAAAATTGGATGGCAGTTCCCTATGCACTGTCTGTTTCCGTTCTTATGAAGTGGTTTGACTCAGCCAGTTCTCCAGTTGTATGGAACCTGGCCTTCGTACATTGATTTTGAAAACTAAACGAACAGATATTTTGAGACCCATTCAGCATACCTTGATAAAAATGCACTGGGAATATTGTCGGGCCCAGAAGACTTTTTAACATCAAGAAATTTCAAAAGCATATTCAATATACCGTGTTCCGTAATTACAATATTAGGCATAGGAAAGTAGTGTGCATGAAAACTTGGTAACACATCATTGTCTTGTGTACCCAGGTATATTTGTGAACTATTGAGGACAGCAATAGGAGACCTAGCAGGTCTATAAAAAGCCCTGACAGTAACCCCAAAATCGTTTTGAATCAACCTACCACTGTTGGTTTCAATGGGTACACTGGCAAACCTTTTCGGTTGTGGAGGTCAGAACAGTTGTTCAGGGTAGCTCAGGCAGAACTGGGAAGGGTAGCATGATCGTGCTCGCATGCAGCTAGGAAAGTTCTCAACGCTCGTAGGCGAGAGCAAAGGTTGCGAAGAAGATGGCTCTCTACCCTGACCGAGGCTGAATGCACAGCTCCAACTTGACGACCGGTGAAATATATATATTCATACGCACCGAGCTGCTGCAGGAATTTGCGGACGATCGACTCTCGGAGACGTTTGTTTGCCCGGATGTAACGGTGAAGGTCTCCGCCCGAGCAGTATTCCATGATGAGGTAAATGAAATGTTGGTTCCACTGGAATTAGATTGCGCACAAAACAGTGACCATGAGAATACGACACAGTCTTTTATTTCATCCCTTGTCTAAAGTTCTCTATCAGATTGAACCAATGAACGCCAAGTATTCAACATTTACTGGGACGATCGGTTCTACCGAGCCAGCATTATGCAGAAGCATGGGTGTAATTATCTATAGTGAAGGTGCCCCAGTATTAAATTTTACCTTTTGCTTTTGCAAGGTTAGTGTTCTTTTCTCTCCTGCGAGCAGGAAAATGAAAACCAAAAACAAGGAAGCGGATACCAAGACGTGAACTTTATTAAAACAAAGAATGTAAAGAGATGAAGGGCAAGGTATGCATCCCTTGTTTACATGTCTATATCAACAAACCGGATTTTGGGCCAGCTTCTTTTTCCCACCCGAAATAATTAAAAAAAAAAAAATTATCCTCAAATAAGATTTTGAAATGCTGGCTATGCCTGACGCCATACAAGAAAATTTTTATTTGCTCATAGCTCCTGAACTAATATCAGATTTGCAACCACATCCTTGTGTGTTCTGTTTGATATATGATAATATGGTTACAAGGAAAAAGTTGCCAATAGATAGCTATTGCAGTATGCCTTGGGAATAAATCCACCACATGGAGGATGTCAAGAACGCAGAACTGCCTGGAAAAATAAGCAGCTGGATGCAGCAAGCTAAAACTCTCTCAAATGTGATTTTTGCCTATTCAACTGCCACTAAAATTTCGAGTATCAACTCATTCTCGTAAGCTTGCTTTAAAGGCGTTAGTCGGACCTCTGGGTGAAACATCCAGCGCCCTTGTTACCTGAAAGTCGATGAGTTCTACAATGTGTTCGTTTTTTATCTTCTTTAAAATAGCGATTTCCGTCAGCAGGTTTTCCGTGGCAGACTTGGTCAGGGAACTCTTGGAGATGCATTTTATGGCCACTACCCGCCTAGCACCCGTCTGGGGAGGGAAAGAGCACAACGTGTCTGTTTATTATATACATATGTTTTATAGCTGCTGCACAATTTTTACGAAATAGCAAACCCGCAGCAGCCTTCAGCTAATAGCTCAATGAATGGTCCGTCAGCTTACTTTGTGGTAGGCTTTAAAGACGGTGGCGTACGTCCCTTGGCCGAGTTTTTCGGTAAACACGTATTCTGGAAGTTTGTGATCATACAGCTGAGCCATTACATCTGAAACATCCGAAAGCGAAAAGGAAGACCAACGTTAAAGAAGACAGCCGCCTGCTATTTCAGCTGTATCCTGCTGTTTACTTACTGCTGTTGTTTCATAGTAACCACCTAGCGGTGTCTTTCTGAACGCCACATAATAATAAAAAAAAAAAACCTTAACGCAATATTTAGTCATTTATATTAGAAAATTCAAAGCAACTCGTTATGAAGTAATAACATATCTAAAACTAAATTTTTAAGCATTAATTTACTCAAATTTACAATTAAAAAAAAAGAGAAAGCTAAAAAGAAACTGCTTTCATAAAATCAAGATTTGCTTATCACTTTTTGTTTTGTATTTAACTCTAATGAAATAACTTTAAAGAGATCTAAAACCCTAATTTAATCATTTTTAGATGTCTGACACTCGTGGTCTGACATACGGCACTGTCAGTTGTTTACCAAACACATAGCAGCCGACAAAATGGCGGCGGCCATGTTTATGTTCCGCCACTTGCAGCGTGCAACAGCTATTCATTCCAGTTTCTCGCAATCCCTCGGTCTACTGGGCCGAAATGGGACCGAAGTCGTCGCGAGACGCGCCGCCACTCAAAGCCAAAATGTGGAAAAGGCCGCGAAGGTATCTACGGACGATAGGCCTTACGTGAACGTCGGCACGATCGGTCACATTGACCACGGCAAAACCACCCTCACGTCCGCTATCACCCGCGCCTTGTCCCTGGACGGCAACGCCAAGTTCATCAAGTACGACCAGATAGACCGCGCACCCGAAGAAAAACTACGCGGCATCACCATCAACGCCACGCACCTCGAGTACAGCACCCCGACACGCCACTACGCGCACACCGACTGCCCGGGCCACGCGGACTTTATCAAAAACATGATCTGCGGGACCAGTCAGATGGACGGCGCCATCTTAGTGGTCGCAGCAGACGACGGCTGCATGCCGCAGACGCGGGAGCACTTGGCCATCTGCAAGCAGCTCGGCGTCTCCCGTATCATCGCGTTCGTCAACAAAGCCGATATCGCGGACGCGGACACGTTAGAACTGGTCGAACTCGAGCTGCGCGACTTGCTCGATAGCTACAAGTTTCCGAACGTGTCCACCATGCCGGTTATTTGGGGATCGGCCTTGCTGGCCATGGAAGGCGACGAGACACACGAGTACGGGTTGCAGTCCGTCCGAAAACTGATCAAAACAATGGACACCTACTTCGAGCCTCCACAGCGTGACGTCACTGGACCTGTCTTGGTACCCCTAGAGGGTGCCCTGAACGTAAAAGGCCGCGGAACGGTTCTGATTGGCACCCTCTACCGCGGCACGCTCAAGAAAGCAGACGCTGTAGAACTCGTCGGCTTCGACAAAACCTTCAAGACCGTCGTGACGGAAATACAGCGGTTCGGTAAGACCATCGATGAGTGCCAGGCCGGAGACCATGTCGGACTGCTTGTCCGTGGCGTGAAGACCACCGCGGTTGAGCGAGGAATGAGCCTTGTCGCGCCGGGCACGGCCTCTTTGGGGAATCGTTTTCGGGCTCAGCTTTATCTCCTAGCCGAAGCCGAAGGTGGACGGTCGAAGCCGATATCCAAGAAGTACATCATGCCCATCTTCTGTCGTACCTGGAACATGCCCTGCCGGGTTGATGTCGTTGGCGGCGGCATGCTGATGCCTGGGGACTATGCTGACGTGGAGCTGACATTACCCAAGAAGATGATCATGACGCCCGGACAAAGTTTCTCGATCCGAGAGGAGAAACGGACTGTGGCCACGGGTGTGGTCAGCGAGATTTTGCCGAGCATCGTGATTACGACGACCCAAGTGGGGAAGGTGGACCTTCCGAGCTCGCAGTAGATCGATGGTCAGTTTTGTTTGTGAACACAGTGTTGCATCGGCAACAGAGATGCGTGCCGACTGGACGTTTTCGGCTGTGCAACAGAACCATCACAGTCATTATAGCCAAGACTGCGATAACTCACAGTCTTGGCTCTATGAAGTCAAATAGGACCGTGTGAATGGTCCTCTAGATTTTATGTGGTTACCTGCCATGCTAGGGTAGATATTGCAATGAGATCAAACAACTGATAATGATCCACTAAAGCTTAATGTAACCAGAAACATTGTGTTTCATGTGGCTCCGAGGTTCATCAAATTAAATAATACATAGAATAGAATAGCCTTATTTGCAGCATATAGCTCTTTACAACCTACACTAACGAGCTGGTTTAATTAAGTCTCGGGGGCTCCTGGCTTAGCAGGTGGCAAAACAAAAACAATGCAAAGGTGACATGTATGCTGAAACTACTTAGTACATAAAAAATTTACGCAATCACAAAGTGACACCATAGATAGGTCATGGATAGATTAAAAACAACAGTAGCAAAAATAAAAAAAAACAGTGAGTGTGCAGTCAAGCTGGTGATATCATAATGTAAAACACGAGACTGTGGTGCGGAAACATCAAGGAACTTTCAAGTCGAAGGAGAAAACAACAGAGGAGAATGTCTCTTATTGTTAATACAACCTCTGGTCATTATGTTAACCATCCCTAGCTCTAAAGTGCATATTATTTTATGTGCATTATCTTTATGTCCCAACACACTCACATTACTACGACATATCTTTCTGCTAATTGAGTTCTGATTGTAAAGCCCTGCTACCCATGCCATGACTTCAATCTCGCACATACCCTGCATTTACCAACCAGGAGTAGTGAAAGCAAGGAGCTAAGGAGCTCGATGAAAAAATTCTGCAGACTAGTCCCCCACCTCTCTTAGGTTTTTAGCCAACACAGCAACAATTAAGAGCAGGCCTTTGATGTTGCAGCAAATGCTGAACTAGTTTATCTTGATGCCACTTGCATTATGCTCCTCCAAAGCAATGAGGATGACTGTTCTTGAGGAAGTGGCATCGCGATGGGGAATGAATGGGTGTTGCTCTTGCCTTGGTGTTCTGGCAGCTATGAAGCAGCAACTCTGAATGCCATCAGTTAACAGTATCGCCATATTCTTGGCAATGTCGTTAACTGGTGGCATCCAGGTCAAGGGTGTCGTCGATAGAAGGGAGTGGATAGACATTGTTCATTGTAATCTTGTTTAGTTGCCTGTAGCTAGTCCACACAAAATCACAGGGTTTCCATCCTTCTCGACCAACACCGCTGGGGATCGTTCGAAGCCAGGATGACTGAGCATTTTTTGTACCTGCTGTCATCGTTGGTGATGATACGATGTTGGCAGTTGTAGTCTGCTGAACCCCTGATGCTGCAGCAAAGCAGTCATGGAACTTGCGAAGTAGCTCGAGGAGTTTGTGCCTTTGCTCCGATGACAGCCTCAGGTTAGCGTTGTAATACATGGATTGCTGAAACTAGTGCCACTAAATAAGCTACGCTTCAGAGTAACGACACTTGGCCATATTGTGGCTTAAAATCATGGTTGCCAGTTATCTGAAGCTTTATCTGAAATCACAGGAAACGCTTTTCCGTCCTGCGAAAATGGTTAAACAGTCCCCGACAGAGAAAAGCAATATTACATGAGCTTCCTAACACCGAATCGAATGCTGAGGAAGTCGCATTTTTTAATCATGAGGATCTGCAGTTGCGTCTGCTCTGCACAAGCCCCAATATGGCGGCGCCCACAACAGTGTCGGGGAACGGAGTGCCGGTACTCTAAGCGCAGCTCATTTAGTGGCTCTAGCTGAAACCTTACGTTTGTACTCTGTGTGCTTGGCCACAGCGGCCAAGGCAGCTTTATACAGTGTCTGGTAGTGTCATGCTGCAGGGACTGACAAACCCCCTACTAGATTACAAACAGTTCAGTACCTCGTAATGGCGGCCGGTAAGCGGGAATAGGAGAAGTGACGTCACGTGAAAACTATGTATAAAGTTATCTATCTCGGCTGGTGTCACACGCCTGCAAGCACGTGTAACCTATACACCCACGCATGGAAGTATTTAGCAGGCTTGCAAGACCCCTATAATTACAATGTAGCGCAAAGACAACACAGGAAGGAGACAGAGATAGGAAATAAACCAAAACGACGCACGCTCGCACACCTCCCACGCAAGTGTAGACACATGGCGGCGGCCATTGCCTTCCCTAACTACCGAATAGTTATTACTCTATTTGTAAGCATCAAGTTTGCACCGTGCACGTATTTTCGCCCATTGGGAGAGTTACAAGCGTTACTAGGGTGACAGTAGGGTTGGTAGAGTCAGTAGGGTTGGTAGGGTCAGTAGAGAGTAGAGAGAGTAGAGTGCGCAGCTTGCGCAGTGTGGCTTTCGTGGCTTTGGAGTGGTAGAGTCAGTGGCCGTGTTCCAAAATTTACTCGATCTTACTCCAGGGTAAGAGTTTAGAACCTTGGCGTTTCAAAAACTACCCGCGTCCAGCGTTCTTCAATCTGTGTTGTCACGTGACACCACCCGCCGGAGTAACTCGGGTCCATTTGGGTAAGATTTGGAACACAGCCAGTAAAGTTCGTAGCGTTCGTAGAGTCAAAGCCGCCTGTATACAGGCGGCTTTGGTAGAGTCGACATAGTAAACAACATGGCGCCGAAGGCGAGGTTTCAAGACGGTAAGCGGCCAAATTTCGTTAATATTTGGCGATAAAGGTCGCTTCCCAATATTCTGATCAGTTTGAGAACCGATAAAGGATAGGAGAACTATTCTACGGAACAAAATATGTTATAAGCAGCGTAGTAGTCTTCGAATAAACAGAATTCGTGGAAGCCGGTTACCTTTGACAATGGTGGAAAAGAAGCCGCGAAACGCCGCCGATATTTCCAGAAGGGTCGCGAAAAATAAATACGCAACATCGAATTTAATATTTTTGGACGGCGTAAAAACGGTACGTGATTTACATTTGGTCAAACTTCAACCGCATAATGTTATTCGCGTGCTTTCGATATGAACACCTCCTCCTTCGTACTAAAATGCACTTGTATCTCTTTTTTTTTTTTTTTTTTATTCGAAATTCGTGGGAAGTTTATTGCTCGTTTAAAAACAACGCAGAGAGCAGTAATAATCCAGTTAGGTGTCGATATCTGATGGTTGCATACTGAGTTGTGTGATGCACTGGCTTAAAGGGGTCATGAAACGCTTTTCCAACTTTTTCCTGTTTCGCTTTCCTCCTCAACTCATAAATCGCGTATTCCACCAAACAGTTAAAGAAGACGAAAAGGGGGAGTCCCCTCTTGCTCGCACTCTCGTTTATGTAATCCCGGACACATCCATTCTCCCCCTAGAAGATTAGCCCGTCGCTCAAAATTCAGACAAAAGTTGCTTTCCCCACCCCGTTCATTCCGAAGCTGACAGTGCTGTTGAAGCTACGTGCTCGTTGGGCCAGCCACACTTGCCACGTGAGCGTGGCAAATGTGGCTGCGGAGAATGAAGTCAGGTGATGAAAGGGAGGCGGCTGATTGGTCCGGCAAGCACGTAGCTTCCACCACAATGTCAGCTTAGGGGTGAAGGGAATAAGTGAGGTCCGGTTGCGTGTGACGTCAGTTTGGACCCGATAACGCGCTTTTGGGACCGCGGTTGTATCACAGTGAAAAGGCAGAGAGGTTGCGAAGGGGAGGAGGTACGAAATAGTCCGCTCTGTTTTCAAATTTTCGCACTGAAAGTCAGGCTTTTGACTTTCTACCTTTTTCTTTTGGTCCACTGAACGATGTGCTATTAGTAAAATCCCAATCTAAAATGATTTATCCCAACCCAAAAATCGTTTCATGGGCCCTTTAATGATATGAGCGTCCCTTGCTTGCGTAGGTTTAGATTAGGTTATCATCTAAACTTCTAAAGTATGATTTAAATATGATTATGTTCGTTGCTTATATTCTCTTTGTAGGAGAGAAAGTTCTGTGCTTCCACGGTCCACTGCTCTACGAGGCCAAGGTAACCATCAACCTTGTTATTTAACCTGAGCAATCCTCGGATGCAAACCAAACAAAGACGACCTTTCTTCCTTTAACAAAGTGCATCAAGGCCCAGGTGAAGGATAAGCAAACCAAGTACTTCATTCACTACAGCGGATGGAACAAGAAGTAAGTCGCCCGCTCTTCTTTATAGCAAGAAAAATCTTAACATGTTTTTCATGTGACCACCTTTCAAGCTTGCAAAAGCTCGCCATCATATCTGGGTCTAGACCGAAAGTTCTGGATGGTGACCTGTGACATTTAAAGCTTCCTTGGCGGCTCCGAGGCAAAGCACCCGGCTACAGACCCCCTGGGCCGGTTTGCTCATCTTGCGGCTGCGGACGCGGCCGCGGCCAGGAGGGATTTTTACGTCACGTGACCAGCTCCATGGGGGACAAGGAAGTACCTAGCGTCCCTGCCTAATGGCGGAGAGATCCGCATCGCTTCAAGCACAAAAGCCTAATTTCGTTCGCAGAAACTGATTGGAGGGACTTTCAACTGGAACCTAATTGACCGCCCCTTTATACTGTAGGAGCGACAGGTAAAGTTATGGCCAGGTAGGGCAAATAGGAGCCAAAATAAAGAAAAACCCACACGAGATAAAAGCGGTAGCAGTATTTTTATATACCTCCGCCGGCGCCGCGCCTCCGCGCCTTCTGTTGTGGTCGAGAGGTTAAAGCGCCGGTACTTGTCGTCGCAGCGTGAAAGTTCCAAGTTCAAACCGCGCGAGGGACTTTTTTTTTTTTTTTTTTTGTATTTTGCGCGTGTTTTACTTTTGAACTGTGATCCTTTTCTTGGAAATCATCCACTTGCACTACTGCGCCTTACACACTTTTACTGTTAGTCCCACCTGTTCAATCGAAACACCGGGAAGAAGAAAAAAAAGATCAACGCAAGTTAACGCGCTAGTGCAATCATTTCGTAATGTTCATTAAAAGGAAACCAAGCTAATAGCATCAGTATGGCTTTCACACAAGCGGAGCCGAAGCAAGCATCCTTTCCCCAGCGTTTACAATTTTATCTGTTTTCAAATAACGCTCTTGCTACGATTCGTTTCAATAACAAGAGACGCCTATTTAGGACTAATAAAAACTGCAGTTGTAGCAATTAAAAAAAAAATAAATAAAACAAGCAAAAAAAAAAAAAGACTAGCAGCTGTGGATACATTGATTGAGCAAAATCCTACAGGCAAGGCAGCAGGTCAAACGTCTGAGAAAGTAGTAAAACTGAACTAAAAGAGATCATACTTTTACTTGCATGGAATGAGATAAAAAGTAGATTTATACTCTTTACATTTTGTTGTGGCAATCGTTTTGTAATATTAACACATTGTTGAATTTTAGTTAGACTAGCAGACGATCACAACCAAATGCAAAAATGAATCAGGCATCGACCATCGCAAACCCTCTCTCTCATGCAAACACCTAAAATGACTTTGGATCAACAAATGGAATTAATTAATTAATTCCATTTGTTGATCCAAAGTCATTTTAGGTGTTTGCATGAGAGAGAGGGTTTGCGATGGTCGATGCCTGATTCATTTTTGCATTTGGTTGTGATCGTCTGCTAGTCTAACTAAAATTCAACAATGTGTTAATATTACAAAACGATTGCCACAACAAAATGTAAAGAGTATAAAT